AGGAAGGAAGGAAGGAAGGAAGGAAGGAAGGAAGGAAGGAAGAGGGTCTCCTCCTCGGTCGCCCGCCTGCCCGCCTTCTTCAAAAGGCCGCCCTTGCCGCTCACTCTGGGCTCTCTCCCTTTTAGCTTTAATTGAGAAGAACGTGTTTAAGGGGACTTTTTCGTTCCAGTCGCTAATTCCATGCTCTTCTCTCTCCGAGATTTCCACCCACAGGATGGAACATTTAATCCCTGCTACAGCCGTGCTGAAATGTAAATCCCAAAATGAAACCCGTATGAAAGAGTGTAAAATTGAGATGCTGCAACAATTTTGCAGGGAATTTGATGAAGCACATCTGCATTTGTATGAAACGTGGAGGCCAGGGCGAGGGGTGTGTGTGAGGCTTCCAGTCCGGACGTTCTCCTGGCGGTGGATGGAAACCCCCCGGTGTCTGCACCAGTTATAATACACACTGAGACACAGTCTAGGTCCACAGGACCCCTATGCCTCTTTCGGCTTTGAACGTGTTCCCTGCAGAAGCCCCCATGCTGCAGAAATGTCTGTAGACCTGCCATTCAGCATATTTCAGAAAACACCCATTCTTGGAGTGCCTGGTTTTCTCCCCAACCAATGGCAATGCATATCATTCATTTGGGCAACCAAGCACAAAAAGGCAGTAGGGAGTAGCAGTTAAAGTCCTGGGAGGCGAGGGTCTCCACTCTGCTCACAGGTTGGGGGTGGGAAACACCTGCTCTCTCCCAGTCAAGGCGCAGGGATGTTGTATGGATAAAATCAGGGGAGAACTCGGGATGGTACATGAGCTCCGTGAACGGGCTTCAGGCAGCGGTGAGCGGTCGCCTGGCCGTGAGCACACCGCCAACTCCACAGACCAAGGAGTGGGCCCTGGCCTGCCAGAGCCGAGCGAGGGCTTGGTGACCTGCCAACCTGGAGAAGCCGGCTTATAAATAGCCACCGGAGAGGACGCGGCTGTCATTCAGTGAATAATGAAGGCAGCTTTTTGTTCCCCACCAGCAGTCTGCAGAGAGACGTGTTGTCGGACGAGCGAGGGTGGCTCTGGGCCCTGGAGCGCGTCCCACCCATCGCCGGAGATGCTGAGCTGTGTGCGATGAAGATAATGGCGTCAGGATGTTTTCCCACCACCGGAGAAACGTCTCTCCCTAGGAAAAAAAAAAAGAAAGCGAGGAGCCACCAGGCGGACAGAGGAGGCTGGGGACTCTTTTTTTCCTCTCTCTCTCTCTTCTGCATTAGCAGATTAATAATTAGAAGTTCTTTTTTATTTTTTCCCTGGGTCATTTTTAGTTTTAGGTGGATTAGCAACTGCTGGGTTGTTACAATAGCAGAATAAAAGTCCCTCAAAGAAAAAAAGAGGGCTTGAACTGCAGATGCCATTCTTGGCAAGGAGGTTAATTGTTTTTCTGTCAGATTCACAACGTGTTCAAAACAGGACAATAAAAGGAACAAACGGGCTCCTTCACCCTGTTTAGCCCCCTGAAGGGCAGAAAATCTGGGGCCATGGAGATCCACAAAATGGCTCTTCCACCCAGATGGTTTGGGAGCCTTTTTCTGCCTTCCCCCCCCTTTGAGGTCACAGAGTCATAGAACTCTAACTTGAAGGTGTTCTGGGGGCTATTTTATCCCCTTCCCCTCCCTAGAAACACACCCAAGGAGGAAATGCACAGCTAGGACGTCCTTGACGGTGGCCACCCAACCTCTGCTTGAAGAGGTCCAAGGAGGGACATTCCTCCTCCTCCACCATCACCACCACCACCACCACCCCGTGTGTTCTGCGTGACTGGCCACCCCTTACCACCACTCAGTTCTTCCTCGTCTTTATTTAGAATCTCCTCTCTTGCATTTCTGGGTCTTTTGGTCCAGACCCTGCAGAAAACAAGCTTGCCCCTTCTCCCCCCACCCCAAGGACAGCCCTCCAGACATCTGAAGGCAGCGATGTGACACCCCCCTCCCAGGCTTCTCAGAGTATCAGGTGGTTCTCACCCTTTGTTGGGACTACTGGGCATTTATACAGGCAGGGTTGAGCTGTTTCCTCACAAAGTTGTGTCTGTGAAACAGTAGAACTCAATCTATAGACTTGCATTCATCAAGTCTTTATTTGGTTAAAGAATTCTGTTCATGTATAAAGCACGAGGAAAGGGGTAATTAAATTTATTGACAGAAAGCCCTATAGTTGGCTTCCAAATCTGAAAAGCTGCTTAGGTAACCATTATGGAGATGCCATGCATGCACAGAGAGGCTGCTCTCTCTCTGGCTAGCAGCAGCAGAATACAGGGAGAAGCAGGAAGGAAGTGAGTCTAAGAGTACCTACCTTCATGTAGATTTAGAAAAGACCAAGGGGAGAGTATCTATCTGCCTATTGCCTGCCTCTATTCAGATCAATTGCTACATATGTTGGTGGTCTGGTCCCACATCCTCCTCCTCCCACTGGGTTCAGCCACCCTAACCTGATATCTCCAGAATGAGACTACAACTCCCATACTCCCACAGGTAACTCAGCAATGGCTTCCACAGATTAATTATGGTTTGCAGAAAGAAGTACCTTCTTTTGCCCCTTCTGAACTGATTGCTTTCCTTGGATGACCCCAAATGCTGATAGACAGGCAAATCTCTCTCTCTCTCTCTCTCTCTCTCTCTCTCTCTTCCCAAGCTAAAAGAAAAAAGAAAAAAAAGGAAAGCTGATAATTTGGCCTTTATGGGAGAGACATCCCAGCTGCCTGTCTTTTGAGTGGCTTTTCCAGGTGCCTTTCCCCCCTCTATAGGAATGCAGCCATGCTCCCAAAGCTGTCCTTCCACAGCTAAGGAGTAAAGAAAATAATAACATGGCAGGTCCATTTGTAATATCCAGCAGAGGAAGGGAGATACTCAAAGGCATCTCTCTCTCTCTCTCTCTCTCTCTCTCTCTCTCTCTCTCTCTCTCTCTCTCTCTCTCTCTCTCTCTCTCTCTCTCTCTCTCTCTCTCTCTCTCTCTCTCTCTCTCTCTCTCTCTCTCTCTCTCTCTCACTCGATAGATAGATAGATAGATAGATAGAGAGAGAGAGAGAGAGAGAGATGCCTTCGATATATATGTAATCATATATATGTAATTATAGGACTAAGCATTGTTTGCTTTTGCTGCTGCAGCTGCTGCCATCCTGCAGTGCCCCAGCCAAATTACATTTGAGACACAAAATTTTATCTGCAGAGACCCTGGCTGCCTCTCCCCGACGTGGAAGCAAGAAAGGAACACGATGATCACAACACCAGCTTTCGGAGCTCTGAGAGGCCCGGGAAGAGAGCCATGGATGAGAAGGTGTGTGTGTTGGGTGGATGTGTGTATGTGAGGCTGTGTCCATCTTTTGTTCCCGTGGCCCTACCAGGGGAGTCCTCCCAGGCCAGGTGTCCACCTAAAGGAAGGTAACACTGGATCAGTTTGTTGTTAGCTCTGGTTCTCTAGCGGAGCAGGGCTGTCCTCCAAGGGAGACACTGGGGGAACCCACTAAACGATATTCAGATCTTTGCTCAGATTTGTAGTATTTCCTTTTGGAAAGGAAGGGGTAAGCGTGTCAAGTCTCCAGCTGCTGTTGGAACCAGCGGTTCTTAACCTTGGGGCCCCAAATGTTCTCAGACTGCAACTTCCAGAAATCCTGGCCAGCACAGCTAGTCGCTACAGTTGAAGTCCAAGAACATTTGGGGAGCCAAGGTTGGGAGCCCACCCACCCCCCGGTATGACCATCTCTTCCCTACTCCATCCTGATGGCCAGCCTCAGTGACTCACGGAGAAGGTATTTGCCGATGAGCTGCACATAGCTTAGGTGTTTGTGTGCGGGTGCAGGAAATCCACTTTCTCTCATGTATGCGTGGCACCCATGTTCTTCTGCAGTTGCTCCTGAAGGACACGTCTTTTGTGACATCGCAAGGACCCACTCCCTTGGCCTTCGGGTTCTGGCCCTGGGCAGCTCTACGCAAGCAAGCTGTCTTCTCCAGGAGATGCTTCTCCAGGACCATCATTTCCAATGATACCAGGGCCCCCATATTTCTTCATCCGTCCTCTTCATTTCACTCCTGGTCTGGCCTTCCTTCCTTATTTTGATAGGTGAAGAGTGTGCAGGAGCAGGCTTCCCATTGGTGTGCATGCACACGTCAGACCAATTGGAGTGAGGGAGAGGTTCTCTAGATCATCCGCTCTGGTTTTTGACCATCTTCGCTGGTTGGGGACCAAGGCAAGTCTAAGCTTAAAAGGCCCCCTCTCATGTTGCTCAGTGTGATCCCTGGAGGGAATTGGGATAAATAGGAAGGCATCTTTGAATGTGGCTACTTCATTCAAATAAGTAAAAAGATGCCACACTTTTGGCGTTCTAGCCAATGAGCTCAAGGGGGACGCAGAGACTGGAGAGACGGGGGCTGATTCCCGATGGCTCCTTAATTTCACTCAAATGAAATGTAAAGCTATTTCGTTTATTAAATGGCTTCCGAGTGTAAACAGATTAGTCTGTTTGTATTTTAGGTACTTGCTGTTTTGCATCGACTTATGATTTATTTATTAAAACATTTGTCTCCTTCTACTCAGGGCCCCTGAGGCGGGTTCCAAAATGAAATGAAGCAAACCTGCAATTAGCAGCTACAAACCAATTAATAACGAGGTAAAAAGGATTTTAGAAACAAAAACAAAGGCGCCCACCCCCCGCTTCCCACGAGAAGCATCGGTGGCCTAACCGGTGGAAAATCTGACCTCAGATGCTCTGAAACTGAATTCGGGAATGAAAGAGGTTTTGCCTGTCGGCTGAAAAGAGAGCTGTGGAGAAGGCCGGTATCTAAATGGTCCAGGGTTGGGGGGCAGCAACAGAAAAAGCCCTCCCCCTCGGGAGACCCCCACCTAAGCCCAGAATTGAGGGCACAGAAGCTGAGCCTCCCGTTATGAGGATGGAGTTGTTCATGGAGCCTGATGGAAGGAACGGGACAATGGAGGTCTGGAAGCTGCAGCAAGAGGAACAATGAACACAAATAAGCATTAGGGATTGTGAATTGGGGGGGGGAGGACCCCAAAGAGGTGGGTTTCTGTTTGTTGCTTCTTTTATTGTTTCTGATATGAAGGCTTTGAATTACGATAATTTTGGTTTCCTAAAAACGGAAGGTCCTGAAAATTTCTGTTGGACTTCCTTTATTGGATTAACTCTGTTTGACATAGTTATGAGGTCTTTCTCTTTCTCCTTTTGCTTTCCCACCCCCATTTTCCAAGCCCTGATCCTCTACCTCCCTCTTCTTGCTTTGTGTGACTTCCGGGCTCCAAATGGGAATTCTGAAGCAGAAAAGCCTGATACAGCCGGTCTCTTTCGGGTTTCATGCCCGAAAGGACCCAAAGTTGAATGAAGAGCCTCCTCAGAAGAAACAGAAGGGAATGAACCCCAGAAACGTTCCCCATGCACATCCCTATTATCCATCATCCACAATGAGCAGCTCCCGGACTGCCCATTTAGCAGACATGATGTTTGCCCTCTTCCACACCGTATGAGAAGCCGTGCAGTCGTGACTGAACAATGATTCAAAAGGCTACCCATTTGCCTCTCTGCCTATCCATCAGCTTGGAAAACCATTTATTTATTTTATTTAAAATATTTTTACCCTTCCTTTCTCCTTGAAAAGGGCCCAAGGCAGCTTACAAGATTGAAAGACACTATTTAAAGATTGGAAACAATGAGAACGCAATGGTGGTTAACATAATTAAAAGAATATTTAAAGCCAAGAACAATGGGCATAAAGAGGCATCTTACATCATTAAAAAACTTCATGTGAATGGGTGTCCTCCTATGTCCTCTGCTGTTGCCATGTGTCAGAGGCCACCCTCTCCGAGAGGGACAAGCCAGAGGGTCACATCCTGCCCAGTTTGGCCACCATGCCAAACAAGTCACAGGTGGAAGATCAGAGGTTTGTTTACCTCCCTCTCCTTGCAGAAAGAAGGGCAGGACGACGGACACCCAGCGCCTGCTGATATCCAAGGGCACCCAGTGATTTCGTCCATTAAGGTATTTTTAAAAAGGTCAGGCGAGGCACGTTTGAAAAGGGTTAACAAACATGCGAAGCCATTTCAGGACTTTCCAGATCGTTAATATCAGATACAGAAAGAGACCGCCTGGCTAGAAGTCAAAGGAGTTACAGTGAACGTTGGGGCTATAAATTAGGATTATAAACCGCAGGTGGAATTAGTGGACTTTATGGGGATCTATAAATTATTGATAAACAATTCAGTAAACTGCTTAACCACTTATTAGCCTTTTCATTTTTACTCTTGCAACCAGCAGCAGAGGCAATGTCTCTTCCCCGTAAGGTCATCCCACACACAGAGAGAGACATGCGCGGCTGGAGGCCTTCTTTATTAAACAATAATTTTTGGAAATGATTGGACGGTAGGAGATCCTGCCTCCCCCAGAACGACACAATAGCCTGGGCTTTGGAGGTGGGAGGGCCAGCTGACCTTGGGAGCAGGGTGGGAGACCACCAGCAATGGGGCTTCTGGAGGACCTGCTGCCACATGAGCCGTGGAAAGCCACAGAGTGTGAGGAGCTGGCTTCAGAGAAGCATGGAGCTCTTTTTTTGCCTCTCCCCAAGGGCGGGAATGTGGGGCCATCAAAACCATTGAGGTGCGGTGCTTCCAGGCGTTTCTTAGGAAAATGATTCTCCTGAAAAGGAAGGTGTGTCTACCAACATGCATTTTTGAAACAGAGATGACGATCTGGCCGTTTCTGGTTTTCAGCTGAATGGGAGGAGATGCCCTCCAGGGATGGGAATCGGAGTCAAAATGGTGGCCGGTGCTCTGCTGCTGGCCCCAATCTAACCACACTCCCTGGGCTGGGCCCATAGAGAGTCAGTGAGGTTTACCCAGTGCTTGGTGGGGAGAGAAGACCTAGTAGCTGCGGCTACTTCTTGCCGCATGCCACTTTCTTCCCCACCATGGTGATGATGATGATGATGACTCTCACCAGGCCACCTGAGGGGGAGGAAGGGCTGATCCGTCCACCCATGGGCTGTGTCGTGGAGCTGGCACAGTTGCCTCCTGATGTCCTCAGGCCACCTGGGGAAGGGGCGCCCGTCCAGCCTCCCAGTTCCTCTCCACCGCTTGCAGCCACGCCAGGAGAGTCTTTTATGAAACATCCTTCAAGGTAAACACTGGAGGCGGTTTAGCAAGAGGATGGGGCCGTGTGTGACAGCTGTCATCAGCGAAACACAGGGCGGGCAGCGCTGACGCTGTGACAGTTCCATAAAGGTTGGTGATTAGCTGTGTTTTGTGTCAGGTCTTTCCCTGGCAACATGGCAAGTGTGACTGGTGCACTGGAAGAGAAGAAACTTCAGAAGAACAGCGAAGGTGGCAGCAGGAACCCTGGGCAAATGTCGCATTGCATGTGCTAGTTTTCAAGCGATAGGCATTCCGCTTCTAGTCATCTCTTTTGGGAGGCTTTGTCAGAGAGGAAAGGGATGCATACGTTGAATGAAACCTGAGCTGGAGTGGGTTGAATGGATCCCTGTCCTTTTGGAGACACTTTCGCCTGGTCCCCGTCGGTGTCTGTGTGCGCCAGTTTTTGCGCATTTCCAGCTTTCTGTGAAAAACCCCATTCACTCAAATGGGGAAACGCAAATGGTGATGACTGGGGTT